TTTGCATATACACCTTAAAATGTTCTATGTTTTGAAACTTCCTGAAGGCAGGCAGCTGAAGATTTTGGATATCGCTAAGTGCTTAAATAACTAAATTTCACATCAGACTTTACAGGAAACAACCACTATGCATCCAAAGAAGAATAAAAAGAATAGTTTTATTTCAAAGTATAAGGACTCCGGATCTGTCAGTAAATTTAGTCAAACTGCTGCATTTTACTCATGAATATACGTATACACTATCATTCCTGTCTACGTTAACCCGACAAGTAATTATACCAATTTGTTTTTTCACTGAGCAGACTCTAGTTTAGTTTGTTATTTACTTACAGGACATAAGTTATGTTCTTAGAGACACATGTTTCACTTTCATTTCTTCCATTTAGAGAATTGTAATTGAATGCTGCACATATGAAGTTTGACTTTTAATCAAATTGGCCTGTGCTCCAGGGAGCTAAAGATTTACTAGAAATCAAGTACTGAATTCGAAAATCACCCTTGTGTTCCATTTTACCCCAGATATAATCTCTATCCTTATCACACCAAATAAAATTAAGTAAAAGTAGCCATTGCTACAATATTAAATTGTATCAAATGCAAGTGGAATTCATATACAGGTGCTTGCAGACAGTTCTCAAGTGCCGTCAAACATTTTGTAGCGATCGGGCAGAAATAAAGTCAGCCCAACACTTACTAATAGATTTAATAAGGTATAATTACATTTTGTTGTACACTGACAACTGCATGCAAAGTATACATTAAGTAATGACAAATTCCTCCACTCCCCAAAAAACCCTGTACTTTTTACTATGTTAAATACTCTAATGCAGTGACCCATGTTATAGATATTTGTTAACATCTGTTTCAGTGCATTAAGAATACCTGTGTAGCTGGAAGCAAGAATATCAAGTAAATGATGTTTCACTGAAATTTTCTATTACTGCTATCTAGCCAAGAAATAATACAAAACCAACATCCTGCACTACAATAATCACTATCTGCAATCCTAATTCTATGATAGGTTAAAGTAATTGCTTTAGGACTGTATATTCTAAATACTTAGGTTCTCATTAAGATAGAGGGTACCAACACAGTAACTGTGAATTCCTAAATTTATGAAAGCTTAAAGTGACTGATAAAACAAGAAACAACATGAAAATTTAACCTGAACCTAATCTAGCATTTCACAATGTTCAAAAGGTATCTTAAACCAGTCATTTGTTCCAGGAGTTTATCTTACCTGTACATAACTGACAGAGGCAAATTTTTAAATGGCTGGTAAAAATCTATCTTCTACTCATTAATCAGCTTTATTTTTCTCAGGTGTAATAATAGTAATAATAGCACCAACTAATTTCCTGAGAAAAAGGATTAGCCTTTGTAACAAAAGAACAAGGTACATATACAACGGATATTTTTAAAAGGTCATTGAAGTTGTCGCAGTTAAGATTTGAACTTCAAGAATCATACATCAATCTCTGATGCAACCAAAATTTCCTAAGTAAAAACAACCTTAGCAATTCTTTTTCAAATTGCTAGATACCATATGAAGCAAAACCAAGATACATCAAGTATGTATAGGAAATTTTTTAAACACATCTTTCCTCTATGTAGTTATTCAGCTTCCACATAGCAACTATGGAGAAACATGTGCTACACATATATGTAAGTGATAGTGCCCTAGTAGAACGCTATGAAATTAAAATTTAAAGTTACATTACACTATTGCTTCACATTTTTAAACAAAGATTCACATATAAAGGGAGGTCAGAGTATTAACTGAACTGCTTTCAGTCCTCTTTGAAGGTTAGGTCATTTTGTGCAATAGTCCCCGATTTCTGAAAAAAGCTAGTATTTCAGTAATTATTTCGTATATGAAAACCAACAACATAGGGGACACCGTACTTACAAAGTAGTGTGTCAATGGATCCGGTATGTGTCTGTCTTGAAACTAACTGGCAAGCACATCAACCTCAAATGTAATTCAAGAGAGCACAATAAAAGGCAGTCTATGAGAACAATGAAACACCAAAGTAGGTGTGGTTTTACTTAACTAGGTAAACTAGCATCTTCCTTTGAACTTCTTCATATAAGAACATGAGTAACACAAAAGCAGGAAACATTGAGGAGACCGAGTAAGGTGAGGGACAAAACAACAAGGCATCCTTAAGTAGTGGCAAAAAACCCACATTGGTTACCAACAGCTAAGGAACAAAAAAAAAAGAAAAAAAAAAAAAGGGGAGGGACAATGCAGCTCCCGACCACTTAAAAGTTTCAATGCTTTGTATATTAAGCAAAGTCCTTTTTGTAATGACTTTTTTCCCTAGATCCACTAGAACTGAGCATATTTAACATTCATAGCAATCAAAGAAAACTGTGCAATAATAATTAATTTTCAACTACAGTGATTGCTCATGAAGTTGCAAACTGACAAGAACACATGTAAGAAGCCTGAAGTACACCTTTTCTATCATGGTATTGCTTCGGAGGGGAAAGCTCATGTCTGCTGAGTTCTTTGGAATAAAAACTTTTTTTACCAGCAGCATGAAATTAAAATTTTGTGAAAAATAACCAAATAGAAAAAAATACATTACTCTAGATATCATCTCATTTATTTTTATGAGAACACAGATGTCTGCATGAATGTACACCAGCTCACATATGCAAAAGTAAAACAATTGAACTGCTTTTAAATCTGGGAAAGCATCCGAGGTTTGTGCTGGTTTCCTCCTGAATCATAGCTCAAAATAGCTGCCAACTGCAAATTCTTAAATTACTGTGGAGACACAAGTTTGAAAATAACATGAGGAATAAAATCTCCAACGTGAAAGCAAAACGCTTGGTTGCAAACGGAAAAAGAATCACAAGAATAAATTTGATAAGCTGACACATCTATATGAGCCATATATGCTTGAAAAAACATGTACTACTAAAGAATAACAAGAACATCTTCAAATGAATTTGTCTACAAAATTTCAATTCACATACACAGCCTCTTCTCGAGCAAAACCCCAAAAAGTTTATATATAAATTCCCCTTAAGTACTAGTTCTGCATAAATTTAATTCTGTGCCCATGTTCACTAGCTTTAGGAAAAGGCTACAGATTTTATTTGAAAATCAAAGAAAATATACCTTTTAGCGTTTTGGATTTTATTCCTGTTACTAGCCTACATGTAACATAAAAAAATCCCCACACCCAACTAGAAATTCTGAGATAGGAAGAGTACTAAAATTCGAAGAAACTATCCATAATTGTTCAGGTTGTTGTATGGTTTATTTGTTTTGAAGATAATCAAAAGCATATTTGCCCCACATACACCTAACTCCACAAAAGGAAAAGGAACAAAATGACAGATTTTAAGTGTATTCAGAAATCTGGTGAGGTCTCCTTTTTCGTCAAGAATTTAGTCAGTTTTACTATGTAAAAAACCCATTTTTTCCCCAAAGAAACAATTCACAATGTATGAGATAAAAATTTCAAGGAATTTGTGGTAATTCCTGGTATGATCCAACACAAAATTATTCGCTGTGCATATGATAAAATGTTATCTGTATAAAGTACACAATGAAATTATCTAAAGACTGGTAAATCTGAATATTTGGAAACCAAAGCTCGTTATATCATTAATGAAGATTAACTCATTTCTACCTTCACATGGTTCCTACTTCAGAACTAACATACCAGATCAAAGCTATGTGCTCTTTCCAAGCTGTTACAAAAAGGAACAGAAACTGGGGCTTTCCAAAGAGGCAAAACAAAGAAATGAAAATATAAATGAAAAGACACATCACCGCCAACCCCAAATCTTATCATTTTCTCATGCTATGATTCCAGCATTAGAATCATCTTCCTCCTTACTTGATCATTCAAAAAAAAACCAACCCAAAAAACAACAAAACCAAGCCATCCCAAAACCCAACCAAAAAACCCCCAAACCCACCCTCCTCCCCTCACCAAACCACCAAAAAAAAAAATCACCAAACCCCAAAACAGAAACCAACAAAAAACACAAACAAAAAAAGCCCAAAAAAACCACAAACAGCTTTTGGAGCACATCTTTACAATAAAATTTCAAATTAGATTACTCTCTTTCATTCAGACACAAAACCACACATGCTGTTTTCATACCTGCATATGGGTTGTCAACACGACAATGAAACAGAGTATTTATTTCAACGGTAATATAAAAGTCATATCAACGGCCATGGATAGCGTTAAGGAAATACACTGAAGTAATTTCCCTATGCTGCTGTATTCTTCCTCAAAAAGGGTTTTATTCAAACTTCTTCAATAAACAGAAGTATAGTTTGCTAGAAAAGGTGTAATTAATGTCTTCAACTATACTGCACCAACATATCAAGATAACAACTTTTTTTAACGTTCTTTAGTGAAGTCTCATTAAGAGCATAATTTAACACTTAGATACTTCAACTTCAAAGTGCACAGACTAAAGAAACAAAGAAAATGTCATTATATTTTGGGATTTTAACACTTCCATAAAATACATGAGTATACCAAGCACCTCAGAGAGAGTCATCAGTTTCATAATGTGCAAATATGCTTGGAGTAACGCTACAGCAATATGAAGTCGTACATGGAACACGTATTCTCCATGCCTCTCCTAGTTTTGGCACCCTATATGAAGTTTCCATATAATTTAATAAGGAATTTCCAAAAAAAGCAGCTGATTCACCCTTCCTATTGGTTGCAACAAAAGGAAACAGCTTAAAAAAAAAAAAAATCACCCACATGTAAACTCGGAGATTCCACTGCTAAAGTGAAAATTGTGAAAAAGTAAAACTTAGTTCACTAAGTCTAATTGTATAAGGCCAACACAAAAACGAATCAGTAATTTTCTGAACTGTTAACTACTCAACTATGAGGAAAAACTGTTCAAGTGCTAAAATCCAAAGACTAACAATTACATGTATGTCAAAAAATTAACAGATATGTTAACTTCCAAGATGCATCCATTCAAATAAGTTTTGTAACATTTACCTGTATCCAAGCGCTTTACAGGGGACTCATCATCAACCTCAGAATCTCCACATGCACTCCTTGATCTTTTCCTTGGGTGCAGAAGTGTCTCCAACCTTGGAAGGACTACAGACAAAAAGGTTTTGGTCCCTAGCTGTGGAGAAGTTGGCTGGGTTTCAGTGTTCTTTGCAGACTTTTGGGGGCTTATACTTTTCGATTTGCAGAAGAGAATGGATGTACGTCTGTTTACATCAGTTGATGACTCAGCTACAGCAGAAACAGTCGACTCATTGAGATTACTGTCAAGTAAGTGTTCTGGAGTGTGTCCATTTATTTCTTTCTGAATGGAAGTGCTATATAATTCATTATCAAATTTTACTCTTTTGTAAAGCTTACTCTGCTCTGGATTGAGTTCTACTGGTTTGAGGGTTGGTGGTTCTGAATTAGTCTCCAAGTTTGAAGGAAGAGGTAATGCATCTGATGGTTCAAGTTTAGGGGGAGATTTATCTCCTGAAAAAATTATAAATAGAGTGTGATTTTTGAAAACCTGTAGTTATAAAGTCTATTATAAAACTCACTATAAATGTGCAGCCCACCAAATAAATTGTTGTTTGGAAACAAAGCATAACATTTTAAAAACAAACCTTGTCTAGCAACAATCTGTCCTAGTTAGTAGTTCCTACTTTTATACTGGGAATGTAACAGGGATAGAAAAGTAGGTGTTTATAGTTGGTGTTAACGATTTACACCTGGATAAATACTTTTTACTTCTCATGCAGTTATGTTAGTTTCATTAACTAAAAACTAAGAAATCTATTTTTTTAAATATAAAGTTGAGGTGGTGGATGATTATCTGTTAAATGCAATTACACTGCCATTCAAGTAAAATTCTTGATAATATACATTTTTATCTATTTCACTTTATCAATATTCACCTTACCTGCCTAAGACAAATTTTATCAGATAAGGATTAAAAAAACACCTTTGTAACCTGATCTACTAGAGTGAGCTGAAATGTGTCATAAAATTTACAGAAAAGATTCGCAAAGCTGTTTTACAGTTGTGGCTAGAAGTTTAATCTACCAAAAAGAAATTACAAAAAGGGCTGAAAAAAAAAAACAAAAACAAAAAACCAACAACAAACACCCCCAAAGTGTTGCAGCTTGATTAGCCACTTGTTGGCAAATGCACACTTGACAATGCAGACTTAATAGGAGAAATCAGAAAAACCACCCTCTACCATTGATGACTGTTACTCTTCACTAGATCAGAATTGTAACAACAATGCCAACTCTGGATCATGCTCTTCATCATGGTTTTTTTTTGTTTGGTTTTTTTTTTTAAAGCAAACTGTAAACATAAGGAAACAGCTACTGCTCACTTTTGGACTTTTTTGCACAACAGCTGCAGTGAAAGGCTATGTCCTAAAAATGTTAAGCTACAAGTAAAAAAAAAAAAAAGTTAGTGTTTTCATTATCTGCCATTCCTAAAGAGTTATATTCAGTAGCACCATCACTTGAAGTTTAAAAAAAATAAAATTAAAAGTCATTAAACATTTTAAGAATATTTAACAGCCTCAGAACAAGACTAGCATGCTGAGTCACTTACACTTTTTCTACTATTGTTGTTCAAATTACAAGCAAGTTGTATGTCTGAAAAGTATCCTCTTAGTCACACTAAGAATTAAACACCAAGTTGCTGTTTGAATGGCAGTTAAGGACAGTCATTTTATTGACTTAATCTTTCAAAAATTTTGATAGTGTCAAGCTGCACCAGACACAATGTTTTATTTATTACCATGCTTCCACTTTCCCTTGAGCTCTTTCCTCCTCCCATTCAATACACTTATTCAAAATTAAACATGTCTCTAACTCTCCTAAAGAAAAACAGGTTAGCTTCTTAAAGAGTTGATCCTGAAACAAACTCAGAAGAATTTTTTTTGAGAGACTAGATTTTCTTTGCATCATTTAGAGATCAGCAATGAAGACCTCAGTAACTGATTTAAAAGCTAAAAATGCAAATACAATATTCAACTGAAACATAAAGTTAGGTCTTTCTAGTATACTGCTCTCACTGGAATACTGGAACTTAGCCAAGAGTTCCGGGACCAGTATTTTAAGAAGGAAGAGAAGCACAAGGGGAATGGCTGGTTAGATATGGCTGACTTGATTCTACAACATGAAGTTTGTTATGTCCTATTAACGGTTAGCTTCATTTAAATAAATAACCCCCCCAACCTACCCTCCACCCTCCCCAGACTCGAGTAGAGAATAAAAAAAAAAAAAAAGCTACATTAAGACAGTACAACTGCCAGAGTTTTCAGCACCATTGACCTAGCTCACATGATCCCCAATACCTATTTTGGCATTTAAGTGGATCTCCAAAAGTACAGTTTTTTTCCACTCAGGCATTTCCGATTCGTTTTCTGATGAGGTTGTTTGTACTTTCATTTCTTAACACCTAAATTTTTAAAAATCCTTGCTACTGTGAAAAACAATGGAGGGAGGTTTTGTTTTAAAAGATCATTCTCATATTCTTAGAATATTTATTGTGATTAAGTGGCTACTTGTCCATTTTAAAATGAAATATAATATTCACTTTTTACACTCTAATTCACATGATTCAGGCACCTGACTGAAGAGGTTCATAACAGTACTGATTTAAACATGGTTTAAAATCTTACCTTCTTCTTCTCCATCTTGTTCTAATGCTGCACTTTCTTCTTCAAAACTTCCAATACCTGATTCTATTTGAGGAGCTTGGTTGTGTTGCTGACTTAGTTTGTTGCGAATAATACTGATTTCTTTCTTTAACAGCTTTGCTCTTTTGCTCCTTGACCCACTGGATTTCATTGCACAGGTGAGATCAAGTTTTTCTAGCAGCTCTCTCAGCTGTTCTTCCAAGGACATATGCGCTCTGTTTGCAGGATTCAGTAACCTATCCACTGAAGTCAAAATACGTATAATTGAAAATGTGTTAGTGTTTCCCAGCGTATTTCCCAGAACATAAGACCAACAGAATGAGGAAAAAAAATAAAATTCACTTGCCAGAATTAACAAATGTCATCAAAAAGCTACTTAGATTAGTCTTAGTAGCTTCACTGTACCAGTAAAATGTTGAAATGAATTCCTACTGCATTCCTACCACATAATTACTATTCTTCTTGATCAGCAATTTGCTCAAGAAAGTTAAGTAGTAGAGCAAAGAATTAAAAGGTCAGAAGAAAAACATAATTAATCCTTCCCACTCTAAGAGATGACTTCCTTCTTGCCAAAGGGCACGATTATGTTTACAAAGGAAACATGTTAATTATTCTCCTTTACTGCCAAAATCTCAGAAAACTGATGTGTACGTCAAAAGAAGTAATTTTAATTCTTAGTACTACAGACGTGCTTCATTTCTTAAGTCCGTAGGTTATTTAAGAAGGTGCTTAAGTTTATACACATTGGTAATCATTTTCCATGACTTACAAACAACATACAATTATGTGAAAGAAAGCACTCAATTTAAAAACCTTTTTCATGTATTTTGTTAAATTAGGCTCTGGCATTGTCAAAATTACAATTTGGATAACACTGTTTTCTAACAACAGATCTAGTAGAACAGAAACACTTGAATTTTTCAAGCAATGTTTTTAATGGAAGCAGGACAGGGGAAATTCAGTAAACAAACTGAATGGCAACACCTGTATGGAATGTACACACTGGGTGTAAGAAAAAAGGCAACTTTTAAAAATAATCCAAAAACATCTTACCATCTTCCCAAGAGAAAGGCTGGGGTGACTCAAGTTTAGGCCGTTCAGGTAAGTGCATTCCAGTTTCATTATTATAACCGATTCCTTCAGCATCTCGCCTAGCTTGCCTGAGAACTACACCTCCTTGATCTCTTAACCGCACCGCAGCTCTATAGAATATTGTATCTTTTGCATTGTATTTCATACAGTTATCTATGATAAGATTGAAGTCTTCTTCAAACTCACTGAGGTTTTTATAGCCTTGAGCATCTAACCGTTTTCGCATGGTAGAGAAATCCATAGGATGTTTAATGTGATCCAAATAGTCTGGAACCTTTGAATAAATATTTAAAACACAAATGGGTAAAATCAGCTTATTACAGACAAAGTAACATTAGCTATTAACTGATCCGCATTTTTAACATATTTTTTAACACCTCAAATCAAGAACTTTAAAGTGTGGCTGAGAATTGCACATCTTGATGTTGCAAATGTTTGCATGCCAGCAGAGGTTTATGTATTACAGGATTCTGCATCTTAGGTAACAAGATGGAGCTCTATTCAGAGATGCTGAAACTGCATGTTTTAGGAATTCTGTGGGTTTATGTACATATTATACATGTATTTATGCATATGCACACTTATAAATGTATGCATTTATACATAGGTACACATACATATAATATATACTTGCATGTAGGATATGCACACATACATATACACGCAATATATAGACATGTCTACATGTTACTTATATACATGTATAAACGTAATGTATACATATGCGTATGTACACACACACACTCTCTATCTAGTTTCCCAGTAAATGAAAAGGAATTTCACCTGCAAGTAAGAACACAGTATCCACACTTCAGTATTTAAGGCACCCTTAGGTTTTGCTTTATCAAATAATCTTATCACAAAAATCGATACGTACTCATGTTATTCTGTAAAAGTATTCCCCAGAAATTGTGTTGGTATACGAGCATAAATAGTCTTTCATAGCAGTAAGTCATAACTCATAACGTAAATTATCAAAACAGAGATTAAAAGGTAACATTGCTACCAACTCTGCATGCCATAATTTGTTTCTTGCTCATAAGTGCCACCAAGTCACACCTAAACATAAGGAAATACAGCTTAAAACATACCTCTTTAAGGTTCACTGGCTGAGCAAATATACGAGCAGAATCCTTTTCCTGAAGCTGATCCAGAACCGATCGCAGAAGTACAGTGAATGGAGTAAGCTGAAGTTCCATAGCAACCTGCTCAATCTTGACCTAAAGAAGTAATGAACATCCAGTTGAGCATTTTTCATTAAGATACTGCTTTAAAGTCTTTTTGCAGCAACAGTAGGTACTTTAGACATGAAACACCATACAAATACATTTAAGTAAATGAGTTCAATGCTACCTCCAATATCATCAGTTGGCATTTATCTGACATATTTTCAGCTGATGACTCTATAAGAAAAAATCATTTTCACCCCTTCATTGCAGACTCAACTTCAGCTTCTGAGAACTCAAATTTGTATTTTTATCTATAAATGAATTTCGCTCAGTTTAATTGTATTTATTCTTTTTGAAGTTTCATAAGAACATCTACCTATTTTGTCAACAAAGTGAAAAGAACAAGAATTTAAAAGTAACATCTTTAAAATTAAATTTCAGTTGTAGTTCCATGTTTAAAGTATAAAGAATGCATCTGTTCAACACTTACAGACTACATAAGACCAAAACAAAGATTAATTATAAAGACAATGTTCTATGTAAATTCCAAGAAAATAATTAAAAAAAAAAAAAACAGAATCAACAACAGCTTCAAATACTTGATCATACTTCAGATTTTTCACTATTTTTGACAATATTACAACTCTACTCTATAGTTTTATTTTCAGATCATTTAAAGAGTTATCAACATTGAAACTGTCTTGTTATGGCAAAAGTAAATTCTTAATGACATTAATGGTGTGCGTGTATACATATAACACAAACATTTAAACAAAGTATACACACACACACAAAATACATGTGTATAAATAATAATACATAATACATGTGTATAGCAAGTGCTAGGTGATTGTACAGAAATGATGCATGGAATTCCAGAAAACAAGAATTACAAACTATATTATCTTGCAATGCATGTTTACAGCTTGCAAAAAGTAAAAACGGAATGGTGGTTTTGTGAATAAGAACAACTAAGGACTCGTAAGTGCAAACATTTTGCTTTCACAGTTTTCATATAAAGTGTTATCTTTCTGCATTATCTCTTCTTCAAATCTCTTCTCCCAGTAATCTTAACTCTAGAATATTGTAGGACTTAGATGCAGGATTTGTTGTTTTTTTTTTCCCTGGTTTTGGTCACAAAATAAAAGCACTGTTAAGTATAGTCAAATGTATTGGGAAAACCTGAAGGGATCAAATTTTCTACAGTTCTTCAGAAACCAATTGTCTTTGCAAGTCTAACAGAATGACTTGTTAAACAGTTTCTCTACACCAATGCATGCAGCATAGGCAACAAATAGGAGAAGTTACGAGGCCAACATGCTGCTGAATACCTATGACTTAGTTGCCATTACTGAAACTTGGTGGGACAAATCGGATGGCTAGAGTGCAGCTATCGATGGCTACAGGCTGTCCAGCAGGGACAGGCAAGGAAGGAGGGGTGGAGGCATTGCCCTCTACACCAAGAAATTGATAGAGTATGAAGAGCTGTCTTTGAAGAATAGACACGAGTAGGTTGAAAGCTCATGGGTAAGAATTAGAGACCAAGGCAACAAAGGGAACCTTGTGGTTAGGGTCTACTACAGGCTGCCTGATCAACGGGAGCCTATGGACAAAGCCTTATTACTTCAGCTAAAGCAGGCTTCACGCTCACAA